TCAGATATGAACGACATGCTACCTTTCAAAAGTTGGTTAACACAATTCAGAATTAACCTAGCAACTTTGATGAAACTTACTTCTAACTCCAAATAAATCAAACATGTTATATAAAAGATATAATTTTATATTTAAGCATTTATTCTTTTTAATATAAAATAGGATGTAAAAACTGAAGAAAACTGAAGAAAAAAATAGTTTTTACTCAGCGTTATTACAAAAAGAGGTCGTATATAAAGCCTTTATAATTTGCTTGATTATGACCTTCAGTGGGCATATTAACTTTTTTTTCTCTTTGCGTTTTAAAAACCTTTTAATGTACCTTATTTTGCCATTTCATCTGCGTTACGCCTTTCGTAATACATCTGCTTCCTTAAATTACTAAGTTTTTTCGCGGAATAACGCCTAATGTATCGCGTTATAAAACATTTTGTTTAACGTAATATTTTTAAACTTAACTAAAATTGTTAAATTTATATTGTCTTTTTGTGTTTTAATGCATTATCATATAACATTTTTTATCCACCCTGCATTTTCATCCTTTCAGGCTTTCGTAAAATATATCAAAGGCACAGTTTTGAATGATGTTTGTTTTCATTATAGAACTAAGTAGAATGAAGACGAATTATTTGAGTAGAGAACCTTTGTTGACCCTTATATTTTTATAACCAAATTTTCAATTGCCATCCATTCTATAAGTACACCGACCCGATCATATAGCTTTTGTCCCTGTGGATTGGGTTGAACCCAAACTTGTTAAACAAATTTAAAACTAGATTCTATTTTTACACCCGTATTAAATTTATGCTGAGTAGATCAAATACTTATTTCTAAAAATAGCCATTTACAATTAATACAATGTTTGAACTTGCGGGCAATTCAGTAAATATAACATCTATGTAAATTAAAAAGAATTAATTCGGTCGATTTCTTTTCAAATTTTGGCCATAAATATACACAGACACAAGATCTCTGGCAATATGCCCGTTCATACTACTGACAGATTCATCAATTCTTCAATGTGTTATACCATGAATAAAGTGGATTTATTTTGTTTTAACTTATAAATAGATAATACGTTAACGGTTTGTAAAACAAGGCTTTAATTAATTTTAAAAAATATATATGTACCCTACGAACCAAGAAAGTCATTCGGTCGTGGGAAAGAATAAATGATCAGAATTTTGGACAGAAAACTAAGGAGAAAGTAGATGTAATTTATAATTGTTTAAAAAACTAATTAAGAAACTTTACATGCTTTTTCAATAAATAATTAGCTTTTTTATGTGGCGCTCCTGTAGCATTATTTATAAATGTATATTACGTAAACACGTGTAATGTTAAAGAAATGACTAATGTATATCGTGATAAGATTCTCTCATCCCTAAAAAATACACTACTCGGGGTCTTTATATATACATGTGAGGTTATTCATTATTTTTAAATTTTCATTTACATATTGCTACTCTTTGCGGAACTTAAATATGATTTTTAATTAATGCTGTCTTTTTATTTCAATCAACACAGTGTTCAAAACATTGCACACAATTACAAAATAAGTGTGAAAGACAATTTAGTTGCATTCTGTTCATAATCTTAATTGAAATAGAAAAGAAACAGAACCCCACAGTTAACTTTATTAAATGGGCAAGTAAATTAATATAAAAACATCAGATACAGAAATTATGCAATGGGAATTTCCAAACAAGATGCACACGGATCACAACGCTCACCTGAGTAACTATGGCTCGTCTCGTTTTTCCCCTTTAAATAAAACTTATGTAAAACTTTTATACATACTGTGTTATGATTCTTGTATGAATATGAATAATCATGACTTTGTTATTCTTTAAAAAAAAATTAATTTTTGTCCCCCGTTGTGTTCTAATGTAAAACTTCGACCGCCCTATCTTGCCCCCGTGGATCATGTTTCGAGCAGACCTTATTTTATACTATCTACAATGGATGCTTCTTTACAAATATAACCGCTCATGTCTTTGATGTTCTTAAAGCAACATGAGCTGCAACTTTGATGTCGGAATTTTTTGCTGCAAATTTGCAGAAAAAAGAATGTTTATAAACTTCTATTGTTCATATTTACGATATAAGAACTAATTATAAGCTTTGATTGAATCAAAATCACATTATTGTCATCCTGTACAATAATGATTTCTTATATAATACTGTATATTCGATTGTATAGAAGTCTTTCTTCTGAAACAATTTAATGCTTTATTTTCATCTAAATTATCAAAAAGATTTAAATTACATACAAATTCATCATAAAAACATATTTTAACAGCAAAATAAAATTTTCCATTGCTTTAATGATAATATTTTTATAAAGTTTCTTATATACATACTTATTTCCTATCTAACTTGTAACACGAGCTTTGATTGGTTACATAAATATGTGACATGGAAAATTGCAATCAAATAAAAATTATAAAAAAATCTTCAAAAATCTCAATTATTGCCCACATGTGACATCAAACATGCTAGATGCTACTTATTTATGTTAATATGCAAGATAAATATGTTGACATGCAACTTAGATATGTTAACATGCAACTTATTTATGTTGACATGCAACATTCTCATGCAAACTTAAACATGCAACTTATAACATGCAACGTCACGACATGCAACTTGTTATGTTGGCATGCGATAAATATGTTGACATGAACTTATAACTTGCATCGATAGATTGCATGTTTACAGACACTCTCTGCCTGTTAACATGTTTACAATAAGTTGCATTTTTATGGCATGTCAACACTAAGTTGCATGTCAACATAACTAAGTTGCATGTCAACATAAATAAAGTGCATGTCAACATATTTATCTTGCATGTTAACATAAATAAGTAGCATCTAGCATGTTTGATGTCACATGTCGGCCTGAGATTTTTGAAGATTTTTTATAATATTTATTTGATTGCAATTTTCTTGCATGTCAACATAGTTATGTTGCATGTTGACATAACTATCTTGCATGTCAACATATCTATCTTGCATGTCGACATATTTGATAGAAAAAATAACTTGCACACAAGGGGCAGAAATATGCCACCATAACATACATATCTGGTACCAGTACAAAAGTTTGATCCACCATACTAAACTCTCTCTACATAGTCTTGATTTGAATTTACACTGTATCTGGAAACTTTCATATATTTTTTTCATATTTCTGGCCAACCCAGCCATTCTGTCATTATACCCCATGCTTGAGAAGTGGGAGGGTATATATTGATCGGGACATGTCTTTGGGGGTACCTTTGGTTTCTCTTATCTGCGACTCCTCTTGTCCACCGAATGTTTATTGAGACTTTCACAGAATCATTGTTACATAGTGCTATTGTGCACCTCTTATTTTACTTTTTGATCCAACACATATTTTGGGTTTCCCATAGCAATACATGGACACTGTCATTCTTTCTATAATATTAAAGGGTACCTATATTTGTTATCCAAAACTCCTCTTATACATTTGAATAAAATTTTATGACATTTTCACAGATTACATAATGCCATTGTGCACTTCCTATTTGACTTTTTGATCTGACACGTATTTCGCGTCTCCCAGAGCAAAACATGGACTCTACCATTAAATCATATGGGGGTGGGGGTATCATATTAAGTGAGCTCAGCGCTCATAGTACCTCTTGTCCCTATTTAAAAGAGGGCATGTATCTTAATTTGAACGAACATTTAACCCCACAACTCACGGATAACCTGTACCATATATGGTTGACATTGACAAGACGATTCTGGAAAAGATGAAATTTTAATAGGTAACGACAGTCAAATTTTGATCAGAAAAGTTTACATGAGCCTTTGGCTCAGGTGAGCTAAAAACAAAATGAGTAATAACAGATAACGCTGAAAGTCCCCTTCACCTAGCTGTCTAGGTCGTGTTTACTTTAAGAGGTTCAAGATAACTGGAAAAACGGATAACCCATTCTCCATCAAATGTCTGTCAAGGACACCGATTGTTATGAATTACAACCGACTTAACTTTGATCTCTTTGAACGAGTGCCAAAAATGGAAAGAAAAGAAAAAGGAAGAAATTTCTAAAAAAGAAAAGAAAATTGTGAAAAAAAAGTACCAATATCAATATTCCTTTTTGTTAATCTTTTGTTTTCTATGTATTTTTTTTTCTACAACACTCTAAAATTTAATGTATGTCAATTTCCTTTCATATTTCCTTCATTTATCAGTTTCTTAAAAAGGAAAATAAAATTCATTATTAACATATGTGGACTCTTATCTCACATTTATCTAACTTGATCTAATCTAATATTAATTTCAAGTGCACAGTTATACTCTTATGAGTATATTTTCGTTTAATTTTTTGAGACTTCAAACTCAAAATTAAAATTTAATACGCGATAAAATGACTAGAAAATGGCATTTAAACTTTAAAGATTTCCAAAACTCGTCGTCAACTTATATACAAATTCAACATTATTGAAAGAATGTCACTATCCCTTGAAAACATTTTCTTAGTGATGCAATACTGTATCTATGTAATTTATTTGCGATTATTGGCTCCCTTCCAGGAGCCTAAAACTACGCCCATTTTACCAAGACAGACAAAATCCACTGCATACCACTAACTGTCATTATAATTGACCAGGCATCAAGGCTAGCGACTTGATTAAATTCTCATCGCTTACCAAAGTCAACACCTGAAGAAAAGAAACCCACGATTTAATTTGATTTCTTCTCTGGCAAGGTAAGAATATTTTTTTTATTACATTATGCTGGAAACTTATATTTTAATGTAATCTTTATTTAAAAAATACACCTAAATAATAAATTAACAATATCTAAAATACGTGAACTTATGCAGTTTCCCTGATGAATGTACCTTTAAGCATTTTTACCGAATAGTCATTAGTAATTAATAATAATTAATAATTAACCACCGACTGTGCATGCAGATATGAGTAATGTTCTGTAAGTCGGTGAACGAATATAGGACTCTCAGCCAAACACTCTCGGAATATCTTATTGTTTTCATGCTCTCTTCGATGATCGTCATGGTTTGCCTTTCTGACGAGCATCACACGCAGTCATAACTAATTAGCCGGGCACGATCGCTCGCGCCGCGTTATAGTATAAACATACCACAAAACAAATAATAATTCTCATTCTCCGTGTGTCGGCTTCTTATAAAGCATGTAAGTAGTGCTACAGTAATAAAATGGGATTTTATTGGATTTTTCCGTACTCCCACGGTAAACACTAGAGACTAATTTTATTTTAATTCACAGTTCTTGGAATTTTCACAAGTATATTTATATACATTTCTTTTTTTCTTAGAATTGAGGTTTCCAACATGCTGCTTAACCAGGAGGGTGACAAATTCATCGAGAAAGAAACATCCTGCGATTGGATATTAAGCTCTCTTCCTATGGTGACCACCTTAATCAACGGTCGCCATGTCATCATCGACTACATGACTGACCAGCAACTCACAGAAACCTACTTTATGATTCAAGAAGCTGCACAAAATGGAGACGGTTACGGAATAGACGAGTTTGATTCCGAAAAGGACTTCCGCCGGGAAATTGAAGGAAGTGACTGCTTTGCCGTAACTTGTAAGGAAAATGGCGAACTGTTAGCTGGTTTTATTTTGGCTGAGAGCAAGTTCTATCGCGGTGTCAATGGGGTAGTTGATCCATTCATTATTGTCAAGCGATCAGAAAGGAATCAGAAACTGGGAGAATTCTGTATGAGAAAAGCCATAAACTTCTCAAAGAAACTTGGATATATGGGAATGTACGTGGACACATTTTCTAACAATATAGCCGTACTGAGAATCATTGAGAAGATCGGCGAGTTTCAGAAAGTGGGCTTCCTACCACTAGGTGGGAGGCTCCATAATGGAGAGTTAGTGGGGTCCGTTATCTACTACCGGGATTTGCAGAACAATCCATCAGATGATACGTGAACATTTTATAAAACATTGTTTGAGCGATCTGATATCCAATTAGGTCAACCATTTGTCAGAACTAATTTGACTTTGAGGTCATAAGAATCGCTGCGACACTTGACAATCAGCAAGGAACTTTCCAGTTCGATTCCCATTGCAGTGTTAGGTCCTCGAGCAACCATAAGAATCAATGGTCTAAAGGACTCTCAACATTCCATGTAACTGTATACATTCCTGTCTTTACAATTCTGTGATAAAGTACAGTGATGTAATTATAACTTTAATCAATGAAAAATTTACATGTATATTTATTTTCATTTTACAACGATATTGAAATAAACGAATAAAAAACTAATTGATATATTTTGTTTTTACTTATGGAGATGGTATTTATTTATCAATGCACCTTTCTTATGATTGTATAATAGGAAAGTTATAACATGTACGCCATTCTAAAGGATTAAGAAGATCCAGTTATATGTCTGAGAAAAATACCAAAAAAATACCATTTATATTTACAAATAAACCATCTCTTGAAATCTAGTTCTGAAAAAGAAGAAGGTATGTTTTGGAACTTCAGACCGCTTTTAATCATAAAAAATTCAATTTTTCTTTTACAGAAATAAAATAAGATAAAACTGTAAAATTTCCTTTCAGATCACATCGCATTATGTGTACTTAGTAATAGAGGGGTCTTAAATTCAAATGTTTGCTTGTGCGAGTCTTTTCAAGAGCCTGTTTCAACATCATGCACACTTTTTTTGTTTAATACCTCTATATGTATCAGGACAGTAGATCCAGTTAAATGATAGTATATTATGACATGAAATTTTGACTTGAAAAGCGCTCATTTAACAGTATGGACCTTTAGTGTGGTGTACTTTATTACCATGTTAGCACTAAGTGGTGTTGATTTACCAGGAGTTCTCAAACGTTGTCCATTTAATGTGGATACAATGTATTACTTAGAAATATTGCAAGTGTCATTTTAGCATGCATTGTTGCAGGTTTCAATTCCAATCATCAGAAATGAACGGAACAACACAGTCTCTCAAAATTTTCATTACTAATAGGTCATTAATTAAACACAGAATTGTCGAAGGAATTTTTCGTTTTTCTCGATCATAGCAATGAGCACACGGCGGATGTGACCGGTGGCAGGGGAGCTCAATTCTAACCTGATCCCCCATCTGATGTGTTTCCTCTGCTCCTTATATGTATTGCTTTTGAGCTTGAATTCTTTTCTTTATTTCCATATCTTATCATACATTGGTAGGTTCTATGGCACCTGATCCCACCTCTGATATCTCTTGGAGGTCCGTGTTTGCTCTGCTCCTATTTTATATTGTTTTATGGACTTTTGATCTTGAATACTGTTAGTTAAGCTCCATAGATACAGTGTAAATTACCCGATGTTTCTCTGATATTAGAATTCGTCCCACACAACAAGAAGAAGTGAGCTGAAAAGTCTACTGCGCATAATCAGTACAACCACAGACCTTTTAAATGTACCAAGCATCAAACTAGAAATAATTAACTCATTAGAAATCTTTCCAAAGTACATGTACAGTTGACATTATAAAAAAAAGAGAACTATAAAAGCTAAGGGTAAAAAATTCTTGAATATTATACATGTATCAGGATGATCTGAAGCGAATAAGAAGCAAATCGAAAGGCGCTTAAATGATTACTTCTAAAGATTTAAGGTATACATTGTGATATCTAATATAGCTGTTTAGCTACATAGCCAAAGTTATGGTTTAAAAAGATCAAATGTCAAAAAAAAAAAAAAAAAAAAAAAAAAACCAAACACTATAAGAATGATTAAAGTACTGATTTCTCAGATTCAAATGATTAATGGTTTTAGAACATTTAAATAATATATAGTGATATCTGATATAGCTGTTATGCAGAAGTTGGGGGTAAAAAAAATCAAGACATTCAAATGAGTAAAATACTTATATCTCAGTGGCTTTACTGGAACCAATGACCGAATATGTTTTCTAAATGGAAGCTAAAGTCGAAAAAACACATTGTCCTTTTGCATGTTATTGTCCTCATTTCACCGTCTAATTCTTATAACCCAATCATGGGAGCATGCACATATATTTTTTCAAAGCCGCTAAGAAGAAAATTACGTTAAATTGATTTTCATGAAATTCTTCGACACTCTTGACATTTACTATAGATAAATAAATTCTATATTGAAAAAAAATCAGCAAAAATGCTACGTGTGCCAAGTACTCTAAAGAAACGACCTCATTTTGAAAATTATTAGATGATCTCTGACTAAAAAAGAAAAATTAATATTTTAAATAGGTAAAGGTTAATTACAACTGAACAAATTGGGAAAAAGAGAATGCATTGTTGGCGCCGTTTGGAGATGCAGTGACGTATTTCCGTATAATTTATTATGGAAGTGTCTTATAAGGTGGAAGCAACTACCAAAGCAGCAAATAAACGAAGTCAACACAGATCTACCATCAAATCAATGTCAGTGAAGAAAACAACAGGTCATTGGTAAATGCAGTGATACCAATTAACATATTTTTAATAATACATGTAACATGTATTGGTAAGACTAGGGACGCATTGTTTGACGTTGTTTAAACTGCTATAAACCTTAATCTATTCCATTAAATCCATCATGAAATGCCCTTCAAATCATTTAGTTCGAATTGAAAATTTTTTTTTTACATTTGAAGATTTTAGAATTTAATTTGGTTTTTTATTTAAGAGCTTCTTTCACCAATTTTCTGTATAGAGCAAAGGTATTATTGCCCAGATTCAAACCAAAAACTATACTAATTATGAAATAGATCATGCGTTCAGTCACAAAATATTGGCAAATTTTATGTACCAAAGATTAAGCATAAAAGTTGTGCAAAAGTACAAATATATCATTAAGTAACAGAAGAACATGTTCTATATTACATCAGAAACGAAATGCTAAAGGTTTTAGGTCAGTAGCCAATACCAGAGATGCCCTTCATTAAGGTGTTTGTGGTTTAAAAACGTGAAAGTTTATAATCATAATTGGATGATTTATGAAAAGTATAAGCAAATTTTTTCTTCGTCCCGGATAAAATTGGTGACAATGTCTGAAGATGCAATGATTTATTTTCACTTGCAAAACTGTTTCATAGACAGGGAGGTTCCTATCACATGATACCAACGAAGTTCAAAGGAGAAAGGAAGATTCATTTAAAGGCATTTAGCATGTACTTTTCATGTAGTAAAGAACATCAAATTGCCCTTAATTCCCAAAGCTTAGGTGAAAATAAGTACATGATTTTATTGTTTGTACTCCATGCTCTAAGGACATTGCAACATTTATTAAACTGTATGACAAAGGAACAGTTTTGCATGAGAAATGTGTATGTGTGTGTAATGACAAAAATGAAGATAATTACGACCGATCCCATAAAAATCTATGAACAGGACATAAACATGGAGACCCTAGAAATTCTAGATGTGGGATCAGGTGGCTAGGAGGAGACAGCATTCCCTGTTGACCGGTCACACCGATGGCGATAACGACAATAGACTTTACGAAATGCCAATGCCGACTTGAAATGAGGTTGCTGAAATTCTTGTAACACCAAATTATGTGTCTTGAGTAGAAAATAAGTGAAGGTTTTTTGCTCTTGAGTAGTGATTAAGTCGGGAGACACTAAAGCCACATGCAATTGAGTTTTAAGTTCAGGTAGTGTTATAAATAGAAGTCCACTCTAACAGACAACCGAACCTTCCAGAATCATCCAGGAATGAATGAAAATGAAATAGTTCTTCATATACACAGTGCGAAATGTTCCAGAGTAATCCAGGAATGTAACGAACTTGTCCTTTATAGAAATAGTTTTAAAATTAAATATTTTGTACCATCTGTACCAATATTATCTAACATTATGTCAAAGTTCCCCAAATAAGTCAAAACAAAACACTAGATAGGCTATTTATAACTGTTTAAAGTCTGAATGTCCTCATATGACCTGATCACGTGTTCGAATTTATTGAACTATTATATGATTAAGCATGCTAAGCAAATGACATGTGAACTTTGTATTTCAATGCTTTCCAAAGCATCTGATTCGTAAAGTCATGCGTTTGTCGAGGTGAAATATTTAATATATTTCAAATACTGTGTAAACTGAAAATAAAACCCAGTTATTCGTAACTGTAATTGGTTTTCCTGTGATCAGGTGTCCGTGACTTTATAACAGTCTAATAATGTGCAAAGTTCGGATTCCTTGAATGTGTGAAAATAACTAACAATTCTTGAAATACTGAAATCATTTCAACTCTTACAAAGCTTAATCAAATATTTCTGTATAACGACAATGTCGAATTTTGTAGAAATTAAATCTTAATTGACAGCGATTTAAGTTAATATCAGTAATCAGTAAAAATTTAAAGCAAATGTCTCTGATAGTAAGAAAAATATTCATACATGTACTGTGCCAGAACATTTAATGTTGTTATCTACAAAGTTAAAACCTGAAAAACTCTCTTCTAAAATGTATATATTTCTCATTTAAAAAAAAAGTTTCAAAACTATAATTTTTTTAGAGTTAATATAAGATGTCTAAGACAAGAAGCATCCACTGCTTTAGCCCTATCTATTGATCAGTTAGCAAAATATTCCGTAGTCCAATTCAGAATTTAAAAAAAGGCCTTACAATTGGTATGAAAAACGTCAGTCAAATACGACCAAATGATAGTCGAAATTTGCTGACAGGTCATTACAGCGACTATCATAGTATAAACGAAATGCTGACTTTAATCGAAGTTGTTGAAATCAATGTAGCGTTGATCTTTCTTTCAGTAGCCCACCTCGTTTAAAAGGGATCGTAGGAGCACAGGTTTGAATAACGAATAAGGGAGATGTAAGCACCAAACGCTCATGCTAGCTCAATATTGCTACATAGATAAGGAAAGGTGATAAAAGAAAGGCCAGTGATCTCGTTTGTCACACATATTTAGTCATTAGTTGACCCTTGTCCATAGTCAGTAAAACACCCGATTGTGCAAAAGATGCGGCAAACTTTATTGTGTCACTGGGATAAATCGAGTCGACATGTGAATGGGAATATTATTGCTATTGATAAAATGTTGGCGATATTTCCAAGACTACTGTGTTTTCATCTTCTAAAGAAAAATGATTTTGAAAAAAATTGTGCTAAACAGAAATATAAAAACAAGTCGGCTTAGCAGGGGCACAGTTAGTGGTTCCTATCAAAATTTCAACAGATGTTTGGAATACCTGGTCTCCAAAGAATACATAGATGTTGTCAATGAGGAACTACACCATCCCTTTAATATTGAGAGTACATGTACTTGTATGTAGAATTAGAG